CGGCGGAAAGCTGAAGCCCATACCGGATCTCGTCGGCAGCCCATCACCGGACGTGGACGACGCCTCCGACTGCACGGGGCTATTCCGGCCTCGAGATTCCACCTCGCCGCATCACAAACAGCGCCGCACAGCAGACCCGCCAGCCGGGGCTACCGTTCTCGATCTCAGCCTGACACCTGGATTTTCAAGAAATAAGAACAAGGGCCCTGATTCGGACGACGACGCACGGCGGCTCTTGAGCCCCTCGATGAATTCCGAGGAGTCTCTAACGACGACGTGCGGTGATCTGCCAGCTGGGGAGATCAAGCTGTTGAACCTGTTTGGTTGAATTTATTTATGTTCTCGGGCTTGAATGAGTTTTTTCAGCTATTCATTTTGCTTCTCTTTTAAAAGATATTTTATTTTGTCATTAGTTCTCCAGTTCGAACAAGCACCTGGAACCACATAAATAAAGGGAAGATCTTTATTTATTTTATTTCCTTAATTGAATTTATTTCATATTCCATATATAAGATATTATGGATTTTATTATGGTATTTTAGCTTGTAGGAAATAAGACGTGAAAGAGATAAAGAAGAGAAGAGGCGTGCATGTTAAGGAAATCAAGGAGAGAGAGTAGAAGATTCACTTACCTAAGATAAGCTAAACTATGGAAGGAAATCAAGATTGGAGTCCTATGCCTTGTAGAAGACTCCAACCCTAAGGAGTTCATATAAATACCCTAGTGCAAGCTCTTATTGCGGCTGCTGAAGTGAGAGAGATTTTAGAGCAATATTTGAGCTTCGTATTTTCTATTTAATTTCAGTTGTACACAGTTCAGTCTTGAGAGTTCTTACACACTCAAGGACTGAAGCTGGTTTTTGTTTAGTTTTTTTTTCATCCAAAACTATTTTACAGTTTATACACTTAGGGAGTAAGTGTAGATTATTAAAGTCCACGGGACGTGGCCGGAGAAATAGTTGATAGGATCTGAGTAGTGTTGGCTGGGCTTGAAGGGAGTTCGAGTCTTTGTAAGTCCAAGCTATGTTCGTATTTGATCTATCAATGAAAGAGTTCTGAGGGGAAGTGGGATATTTCCCTGAAGAGTTCTTATATCTTCGGTTTATTGCTTCCGCATTCTTCCTAATTTTGTTCGTACATCAAATAGCGCACTCTGTAATAATTATACGTTTCAATTGGCACCAGAGCAGTGTTTCTGTTCTAACTACGGGATAAAGATCTTTGGGACTGTGTATCGGGCACCATGAGTCATGATGGGATGTCTGTTATGCGCCCTCCATTTCTTGATGGTTCCAACTACTCATACTGGAAATCCATGATGGTGATCTTCCTTCGATCTCTTGGTAAAGGCACATGGCAGGCTGTTGAGAATGGTTGGACTTTACCCCTCCAAGAAAAAGTTCCTGCTGAAACTAAGGGTGGTGAGTCATCGGATAGGAAGTCGTCAACTACTAAAGTACTGGTTGAAAAACCAAGGAGCATCTGGACCGACGATGAAAAGCAAGCAGAAGAGGCTAATTTACGAGCTTTATATGCTATTATGTCTGCTGTAGATCCCACCCGGCACAAGATAATAATTCAGTGCACTACCGCTCAAGAAGCTTTGAGGATCTTGGATAGACAGTTTGAAGGCACGAATGCTGTTAAAACGTCAAAGCTCCAAAGAGTCTCAACTGAGCTCGATGAGATCCGTATGAGGGAGGATGAAACCATTGACATGTATTATGCTCATTTCTGCGACCTGGTTAACCAAAGTGTAATGCTTGGTGAGCCGGTTCCTGAAGCTAGACAAGTTCAGAAACTGATGAGAACTCTACCGGACATATTTGGAATCAAAATTACTGCACTAGAAAGTTTTCAGAGGATTCAGAAACTTGGCATCGATGATCTTCTCAGCGAACTGCGCACCTTTGAAATCAACCATGGCTTTGACTCTATGAGGATAAGCAAAGGGAAAGGGCTAGCTTTAAAGGCCAAGGTTCGTACTACAGTTGCTGAGGATGACGAATCCGATGAAGAATCTTTTGATCCTGATGAAATCACAAAGGCTCTTACCAAGGCTCTTACCGTGCTCACTAAGAATGTCTCCAAGCTGAAGAAATTTCAGAAAAAGAGATTCCAGGGCAACAGTTCCCTTGAAGGTGGTAGAAACCAAATTCAACAATTTGGAGAAAAGCGATCGAGCATGCAACTGAACAAGTTTCAGAATTCTAACCAAGGAGTAGAAAAAGACCAGTTCCGTGAATGCAAAGGATTCGGCCACTTCCAAAAAGAGTGTCCTAATTTCAAGAAGAAGAATAAGACATTCAAGGCTACATGGTTTGATTCTAGTGACGACGAGGAGGGAGAATCTGAAAAGACTGAGAACTCTAACTACTCTAATAACTCTGCTAAACGTCTTCTTAATGAATACAACTGTTTTACTTCCTCTGTTCATCTGACTAATGTTGAATCTGATGCAGGTTCTTACGCAAAAAACTTGAGCGAGGTGGACTCTGATGAATTCTCAGATCCTGCTGCCGAAAATCTTGTACTCCACAAGTACGCCATCGAAAAGTGTCTCAAGCCAAGGGATATCATCAACAAGTACCAGGCTCAAAAACAGAAGATGAAGGCTATTGAACAACGTTCTGCCGAACGTGAAAAGGAGATAGACTATCTCCGGAACGAACTTCAGAAGATGAGGGTGATGACTATTGATTTGAACGAGAAACTCATCAAATCAGACCTTCACATTGGAAAACAAGACAAGGATCTAAACAGTTGTTTTGCAAAACTTGCACTGGTTGAGCATGGGGATAAACTCAACAAACAGGCAAGTGAAGAGCAAAGTTTTACCATCGAATCTCTGCGTAACGAATTGTTTGTTGTGCAAAGTCTTGCAGGTGAAAGAGAAACTGAAATAGTGGTTCTCAAGGAGGAATTCGGTCGGGTAATGGAGGAACATGTGGCACTTCGGAGTCACTGTTCTACCCTTGAAGAAAGACTGAGTAAGAGTGAAGAAGTTGTTTGAATGATCAACAAGCCAAGGGCATCATATGCTGAAGCTCAAAAACTAAGTCAGCAGATTGGTTCATCCAACCAAAGTAAGAATGTTCAGAACCAGAAACTGAAAGGGAAGGTTGGAGAATCAACCTCATCACTGAGTAAGGCCGATCTAACTTTTTTTAAAGAAGGATACTCAATTGACTCCAAGAAAGGTAAGCCATACTCTCCAAAGGCTCAGCACAAGAATACTGGTAAGAACTTTGTACCAGTCTGTCACTACTGTGGGATTCGCAGTCATATTCGTCCCAAATGCTATAGAATGCATAATGATATTTATACGGGCCGAATTAATGACCGGAGTCCTCATGGTGTTCCCATGAAAGCTCCCAAATTAAAAGTTGATATAGTAAATCATGAACAGAAAAAGATCTGGGTTCCTAAGGAACGTAAGAACGTCTGCTGTCCTCCATGCTTGCTTTGAAATCCACATCCAACTCTGACTGGTATTTTGATAGTGGATGTTCTCGTCATATGACAGGTTTGAGGTCAAACTTAACCAATATTATGCTTGTCTCTTCTAGTTCAGTCACTTTTGGTGATGAGGCTAAAAATAAGGTTCTTGGAATTGGGTGCTTGAATGTTCCTGGTCTGCCCAAACTTAAAAATGTTCTCTTGGTTCAAAACTTGAAATCCAATCTTTTGAGTATCAGTCAATTATGTGATCAGGGTTTGTATGTGAACTTTACTAAAACTCAGTGTCATGTGTCTGATCAAGAAAATAAACATGTCTTACTGGTACTAGGTCCAGGGATAACTGTTATCTTGTGGAACTTGATTTGAAATGTAATAAAACCAGTATTGATTTGACTGAACTCTGACATCAAAAACTAGGTCACATTAACTATCCTCACCTGATTGAACTCTCTTCCACAGGGGCTGTTCGAGGATTGCCGAAGCTGAAAAAGCAAGAACCACGAGTTTGCGGATCATGCCAAATGGGAAAATAGAAAAGGGCTTCGCATAAGAGGTTGACAGAGGTCAGTACAAACCGTGTAATGGAACTGATCCACATGGAATTGATGGGACCAATTCAGGTTGAAAGCTACAGCGGTAGGAAGTATATTCTAGTCTGTGTGGATGATTTTTCTAGATTTTCTTGGGTTGACTTTCTTAAAGATAAGTCTGAAGCACTTGATGCTTTCAAAAAACTCGTGTTAAAACTTGAAAATGAAAAACAAACCAACCTGGTGGCAATCAGGAGTGACCATGGTAAGGAATTTGAGAACCGTGGTTTTGAGTTATTTTGTGAATCACGTGGTATATTTCACCAGTTTTCTTCTCCTATCACTCCACAGCAGAATGGAGTTGTTGTACGAAAGAACAGGACCCTTCAAGAAATGGCGAGAGTAATGTTAGTATCGCAGGGTATGTCCTTAAGATGGTGGGCAGAGGCTGTGAACACGGCGTGTCATATAATTAATCGTGTATATTGCAGGAAGGGAACTGAATTAACTTCATATGAAATATGAAAAGGTAAGGCACCAAATGTGAAATATTTTCACATCTTTGGGTGCAAGTGCTATATTTACAATGACAGGGAACACCTTGGTAAGTTTGAGTCCACTAGTGATGTAGGTCAGTTCCTTGGTTATTCTGCTAACAACCGTGTTTATCGTGTGTATAATTTACGCACCGAGGTGGTTATGGAGTCTATAAATGTTGTTTTTGATGATGCTCTTGAATGTGATGTTGTGCCTGATGTGATCAACATAGATGTGTCCAGTGGTAAGAAGTTGTCGAATTGTGAAACTATGAATGTGCTAAATGATGTTAAGTCTGAAACCCTTGAATATGATAAAACTGAGGAGTCTAATGAATATGTTGTTCCAACATCATCCGGAAATCTTGATGAATCTCGGCGAGATCCTCCTTCCAAGATTCAGAAGGATCATCCTAAGGATCAAATCATAGGAGGTTTATCTGAACGTAACACTAGAGAAGTTAAACCTGATTTTCGAAAGATGGCTGGTTTGTGTCACCTTGCATGTTATGTGTCTAAGTTGGAACCAAAAAATGCTAAAGAGGCTCTGTGTGATGATTTTTGGGTTCAGGCTATGCAAGAAGAACTTGAACAATTTGTGAGAAACGATGTGTGGGAACTTATCCCTAGACCTTCTGATTCGAACGTCATTAGAACAAAATGGATTTTTAAAAATAAGACGGATGAATCAGGAGAGATTACTAGGAATAAGGCCCGCCTTGTAGCTCAGGGGTACACCCAAGAGGAGGGTGATGACTTTGATGAGACATTTGCCCCTGTAGCTCGGCTAGAGTCTGTTA